CGGTGCTGCGGGCCGCTGTGCTCCACACAGTACCGCAGGGCTCCAGGCTCCACCTGGCCCTCCGGCTCGGTGCTCTGGAGCTCTTCCCCGTTAAGGAACCAGGTGCCCTGGATGATGGTGGAGAGAGTGAGGGAGAAAACAGCATCTTCCCCGTCGTATACCTGCACATCCTTCAGACCGGCCACCAGGCGCGCTGTGGGTACTGGGATGGGGAGAGAGGCAGCCATCAGAACCAGAGGGGTGACAGAGGGCTTGCAGCTGGAAGGCATTTAAGCAGACGGGACCGATTGCTGCAGGAGGAAGGAGAGGCTATAACGTGGGATCGCACTGCTGACAGGCCCGGTCTGGACTGGAGGGCCGACTCACCGAGGTGGGCAGACCCGTGGAACACAACGTGGGGACTGCGGCCGTGCTCGCTGACGGAGCAGATGCGGAAGCGGTAGTCGCCCTCGGAGGGCATGCAGTCTCCCGGCACCTCCACGGCCCCGGCTTTCTCCACGCTGAAGCACTGGACCCAGTCCTCCGAGCCCACCTTCTGCCGCTCCAGCCGGTAGATGAAGGGGGTCTCAGGGGCTGGATCGGGAGGCTTCCAGGTCAGCAAGACCACGTTCTTGCGGCCCTTGAACATCTCTGCGAGCTCCGGGGGTCCCGGGGGACTGTGCTTGACGCCTGAGACAAAGGCAGGGTTTGTAACGGGAGCCCTGCCCCAGCCTCCCACCGCCCTTCCTCCTTAGGTCCACTGTCCAACCCGGCCACCCTCCTGCCTTGGCTCTCCCGTCCAGCCCTCGAGAAGCCTGGCCAAGGGCTTTCACGCCCTCACATTTGACTCTCAGAAGCGTGGTGGTCCGGGAGTGGCCCAGGCTAAAGGTGACTTCGCCAGCATCTTCTCGAGTGACCCCCGGAAGGACCAGGGCGTGCATGTGGCCGGAGCTGCTCTGGCAGGTGGTCGGCAGGTCCTCCCCATCGCGGCTCCAGTGCCCCTCCACCCCAGCCTCTCGCGTCTCCACCAGCAGCACGGCGTTCTCGCCCTCCAGTACGTCGAGCTTCCGGGGCAGCCGCTTCAGGATGGGCCCTGAGAGGCAGACGGGGGTCCATGAGCCCGGGGTCAGGGCACCCGTCTGTCTCAGCCTCGGCCTCCTCTCGCCGGCCAGCTGACCTTTGACGGTCACGTTGGCCACGGTGCGCACCCGGCCCCGCATCTCGCACAGGTAGACGCCGTCGTCATCTGCCTTCAGCCTGTGGATGATGAGGCGCCTGACGGTGCCCTCCTCAATCTGTTCGTATTTGCGGCAGGGCAGCAGCCGCTGGTCCTCCCGGAACCAGGCCGTGGGGATGCGGGAGTTGGGTACTTTGCACTCCAGCACGGCAATCCCATTCTCCCGGCCCTCCACGTCCTGCAAGGGCCTGGAGAAGCGCAGTCGGGGCTCTGTGGAGAGGAGAGAGATCAGGGAAGACTCTAGAGAGGGACTCCTCTGGGCACCGCCAACAACCTAAACCCACCTTAGCTCATGCCGTTTGCTTTTCTCCCAGAGCCAGCGGGTATGGTGGAAGCACAGGAGAACCTCCAGCGGGGAAGCCAGAGGCTTAACTCCTTGCCTCACCCTGCCACTAGCCACATCCCCCTGAGCAAGGCCATTTTAGTGATCCTGGGCCCCAGGGGTTTTACCTATGAGTGGGAAAAGGGACCACATCAGTGATCTTCAAACTGATCCCTGGGGCCCTTCAAAGGCACCTTACAAATTCTGAGTTGCATTTTCTTTTTAAAGTTCTTGGAGCATTTTCAAAACGGCATTTTGCAAAAAGGAAGCATGATGCTGGAGCAACCCCGTGGGTTCACCTGCTGCTGGACAGTGCGAAGCTCTGCCTGCCCTCTGGGCTTTTTTGTCCTGCTAGCGTTTAGCTCCCCTGGCCAGTGTGGGGCGGCATGCCGGAGAGGTCACCCCTGTGGCACAGGTGCCACATGCTTGAATGTGTGCCAGGCTGGGCTCAGGAGATTTGCCAAGTTTTGTGTGTTTTTTCTCCCCTCTGAGGAAAAAAGTTGGACAATAACTAGTAAAAGTTATTCTTTTATAATAATTTGTATAACTTACAAATCTGCAAGTTGTAATGGATTCCTATTATGGAGAGCTTTAATTTCCAGTATGAGTTTGGGGTGTTTTATTTGTGAGTATTTATTTGATGTTGGCGACTCAACTTTGAAATATAAATTTCTTCTCCTTCACCTTCCTCTTGCAAACCTGGGCAGAGCCGTCGAAAGAAAGAGTGGCTAACAATCGCAGGGCGGTTTTCCTCTCTCAAGTTTACCTTCAGTGTGAATCAGGAGTTGCTCCATGTGAGGCCTGCAACGAGGCCTTCCCCACAGGGCTCAGAGACCGGACCCCGTAATGAGTACAACCTCCACTTTAAATGTGTGTATTCGATAAAGCAGCCCCTGTTCTCACCGACTGGCTCTATACGTATGGTTTACATCTGGACTTAGAAACATACAGCCAGAAAATGACCCTTTCCTCTCTCTTATAATACATTGGGGGCCCAGATGGGATTTCCATTGGGGGAGGCGACGTAAAATAACAGGCTGAAAAATCACTGGAATAGAGGCGTTCTAGGCCTCTCCCAGTTAATAAGTCCAAGGGAGGTTTCCCACTTCATGCCTCAGCATCACCTGGGGAGTTGGTTAAGCAGGTCCTGGATGCCTTGGAGAGCTATTAAATCCAAATCCTTAGGGGGTGGGAAGTGGGCAAAAAATGGGATTTTAATACCCCGCCTCCTGTCTCCCAGTCTCCCCACCGTCGCCTGGGCACAGGGCACTGGAGGGGGCTGGAGTTAGGGGGGCCTGGGGGGCCTGGCGGCGGGGGGAGGGACCCCCCCCCCCCCCCCCCGCACCTTTGACATGCAGCTGCACGGCGCTGAGCGTCTGGCCGGCCGAGTTGCGTGCGGCGCACACGTAGAGCCCGCGGTCCTGGGCCTGGCAGTACAGCACCTTGAGCACGAAGCCGCCGTCGCGGTCGCGGTACATGAGGCGGCGGCGGTCGGGGAGCAGCGGGCGGCCCTCCAGGTGCCATTCGATCTCGGGCTCCGGCTTGCCCACCACGTAGCAGCGGAACTTGGCGTGCTTGCCCTCGTTCACCCAGAAGGTCTTGGGCGCGCACTTGAGCGGCTCCACCGCGGGCTGGGGGGCCCCGTCGGGGTCCTCGGGCGGGCACTCGGGGAGCGGGCTCACCTGCAGCAGCGCGCCTGCCCGCGCGTAGCCGTGCGCGTTGCGCGCGTGGCACACGTAGACCCCCGAGTCCGGCAGCCGCGCCGCCCGGATGCGCAGCGCCAGGCCCACGCCCCCGCCGCCCTCCGCGGGGCCGGGCTCCAGCGCGAAGTGGCTGCCGTCCCACACGTCGTCCAGGGCCATCCCGTCCTTCTCCCAGTGCAGCGCGGGCGCGGGCAGGCCCCCCACCTGGCACGCCAGCACCACCTCCGTGCCCCGCAGCACCCACTGCGACCGGGGGCCCATCAGGAACCACGGGGCGCCCTCTCCTCCGGCCCCCTGCGGCGGCAGTGGGTGCGCGGCGGGCTCGGGCTGGGGCTCGGGGCCCGGGGGCTCCAGCACGGTGACGGCGGCCGCGGCGTAGGCCTCCCCGGCCGCGTTGCGGGCGCGGCACACGTAGACCCCCGCGTCGGTGGGCAGCGCGCCGGTCAGCAGCAGGCCGTGCTCGGCGCCGTCGGCCGGGAAGCTCAGGCGCTCCGAGGCCGCCAGCGGCTGCCCGCCCTTCTCCCACACGACGGTGGGCGGCGGCTCCCCCAGCACCACGCACTGGAGCTCGGCCTCCGCGCCGCTGACCACCCGCACGGGCCGCGGGAAGCGCAGGAAGCACGGGGGGCTGCCCTGATCGCCTGAGCCCGTCTTCATCGCGGCGGCCGCAGGCGACCCGCAGCGGCTTGGGGAAGGGCGGGGAGGTGGGGGGTGGGAGGGGTGGACGCGGGGAGGCCCGAAGTTGTGGAGGGAGCCCGGGAGGCGGGGGGCGTCCGGGAGCCCGGCGTGCGGATCCGTGGACCGACCCGTGGACCGATCCGTGGACCTCTCCCCGGACCGCCCGCCTCCGCTCGCCTCCTTACCCTCGCCCGGGGCTGTGGCTCGGCGGCGCGGAGATTCCGGGCCGGGAGCCCAGAGCTCAGGGGGCAGTCCTTCCTGTTTGCCTTCACGGCGAGGAGCCCTGCAGCCGCCTCGGCAGGGGCGTCTGGGCCTCCTGCTCCCGAGAGCCTCTCTTCCCAGCCCCCTCCACAGCCTGGGCCTCTTTCCCCTCCTCCCTCCTTCCTTCCCTCCCTTCTCCAGCCGCCAGGTCTCCAACCACCCGCTGGGCTGGGGCCGGAGTGTCAGTAGGCGCCCGCAGCTGCCAATCCCAAAAATATTCTCTGATGACACAGCTGGAGGACTAAGCCCAGACTGGCTCCTCCAGGCTAAGTTTAGAGCAGGCGGGACCACCTGCCCGCACACTACCCCCAGCTCCAGCCCTGGGCCCCAGCTCCAGCCCCAGTCACAGCCCCAGCCCCAGCCCCAGCCTCAGCCCTTCCTCCGATGCCTGACCCGGCAGCTGCTGGTTTGAAAGGGGCCCCAGGAGGTCTGAGGGGCTGGGGCACTGTCTCCCTGACAAATAACACTTTTAGGATCTGGCAGACCCCAGCTCCTAGCCTCCTGTCCCGCCTGATGTCTCTTCTGTGCTGGGTCTGGGATGTGACCCACATAGCGGGGTGTGTGTGGGGGGAAGGGGGAAGGGGATGTATGTGTGGGTGGTAGTGGGTCAGGTCACTTGGGGTGAAAACCCTCCTACCCAGCACCTTCCCCCACATTCCTGGCGGGAGTGGGAGATAAGGCTCAGGGCCACAGACATCTGCGTCAGAGAGGAGGTCTCAATGCCACAGGCAGGGGCAACTCAGACTGCAGGGCGTGGGAAGGCCCGGGGGAGGCTGGGGTGAGAAGGGCAGAAGCGGGCGGGATGGAATGGGGAGGGGACAGTGGGAGGCCCTGGGGCAGACCCTGACAAAGGGGCAGTGATCGGGTGTGGGCTCAGCATTGACAGGGACAGGTGAGCCATGTTGCTACAGCTGCCACTGCTGCTCTTCTTACTGGTGGCCCCGCAGTGGGGGCATGGCTGCCAAGGGTCAGAGCTGGACCGGGAGCTTGTCCTGGCCAAAGTGAGGAGCCTGTTCCTGGATGCTTTGGGGCCCCCGGCAGTGACCGGTGAAGGTGGGGACCCTGGAGGCAGGCGTCTGCCCCGAAGACATGCTGTGGGGGGCATCATGCGCAGGCGCTCTGAGCCTGAGGAGGAGGATGTCTCCCAGGCCATCCTTTTCCCAACGGCAGGTAATGAAGATGGGGAACTGGGGGCTCCGAGAAGCAGTGTGGTACACAGCATGGGATTGGAAGGTAGGCAGATCGGGGTTCGAATCCCAGACCTGCCACTCAACTGGCTTTGCAACGTGGGCCAATTGCTAAACCTCCCTGAGCCTCTGCCTCCTATCTATAAAATGGGTACTGATGCCCACCTCTCAGGATTCAGGGAGATGGTGTATTCTGAGGGCACCACTCAGAGGAAGGGTTAGGGGGATTTTCGCCTGGGAGGCTGAGGGTCTCTGAGACAGAGATATCTGGTGTGGGACCCTTTCTGCCACTTTCCTCTTATCTCCGTCTTTGCTCCCTGCTCCAAACCTTGTTTCTTTAACCCCAAGTAGCTGGGTCTTGAGAAGACATCAGGGAGGCAGGAGGAAGATTCGTTGGGAGTTTTCTGGGACTCTTAGTCCAGCTTCTTCCCTTCAGTTCCCTTCTCACCTTTCCTTGTTCCGCTAACTCAGTGGTTGGCAAACTCTCAAGCTACATGTGGCGCTCTGGCCCCTTGAGTGTGGCTCTTCCACAAAATACTATGTGTGGACGCACATACAGTGCGATTGAAGGAGTAGCCTAATTAAGTTAATAACAATGTACCTACCTATACTGTTTAAGTTAAAAAAAAAATTGGCTCTCAAAAGACATTTCAATTGTTGTACTATTGATATTTGGCTCTGTTGACTAATGCGTTTGCCGACCGCTGCACTAACTCAGTGGACTTTCCTATGATCTATCCACCTTTCTTTTAGGGAGAACCCTGCCTCCCTGCTTTTCAGTCCTTGTGCAGTGCAGTGAGTAGAGGTGTGGCTTTCGGATTGGGCAGAATCCCAGCTTCCCTCTTAGTAGTTAAATGCCACTTTGCCTTTCTAATCCTCAGATTCTTTTTCTGCAAAATGGGTCAATTATTGTAAGGTTTATAATGAGATAACCCATGTAACAGTACAGCCCCGGTTGCCACTTCCTCAGCTGGTGCTGGTTTGTGCTTGTTTAGGATAGCCTGGTTGCCTGTCAAGGTGAGGATGCCAACTGCCCTTTCTTAGAAAGCACGTGCCTTTCTTCTCAGCGATAGCCGTTCTCCTCTTCCTCCTCTTGATACAGTGGGCTTATTCGAAAGAATTTACCATGCAATGTTTCTGACATGTAAAAAGATATAAAGTGTAATATAGCAATTGCCTGTGTACACACCATTCAAGTTGCCGTTTCACACTATGGGATGAACAAAGCATTAAGTCTAACTAACAAGTCCATGAGCTGGTGTAGTTAGAGTGGCAGGGCATCTTGCACTTTGCTGATGGGAATATAAACTGGCAAAACCACTGTGGAGAGAAGTCGGCAAGGTCTTGTATTTTTGAAATCCTTTTATGATGAAATTACAAATGGAGGAGCCTTTGTCAGTTCCCCCAAGACTGGGGAGAGTCCCTGCGTCTGGCAGACCTCGCAGAGGAGTGCTTGGCAGGCTCCTGAACGGCAGCCGCTTTCCTCCTGTCTAGGAGGAGGGCTCCCGGGTTCTGCCAGTCAGGCTGCCCTCTCTCTACCCTCTGTCTCCTGCAGGTGTCCGCTGCGAGGGCCAGCCAGCTGCGGGAGAGCCGGCCCAGAAGGCGGAGGAGGGCCTCTTCACATACATGTTCCGACCGTCCCAGCACACACGCAGCCGCCAGGTGACTTCGGCCCAGCTGTGGTTCCACACGGGACGGGACAGGCGGGGCACAGCAGCCTCCAACAGCTCTGGGCCCCTGCTGGACTTGCTGGCCCTGTCATCTGAGGGTCCCATGGCTGTGCCTGTGTCGCTGGGCCAGGCACCACCTCGCTGGGCTGTGCTACACCTGGCCGCCTCCGCCTTCCCCCTGCTGACCCATCCGATCCTGGTACTCCTGCTGCGCTGTCCTCTCTGTTCCTGCTCAGCCCGGCCCGAGACCACGCCCTTTTTGGTGGCCCACACCCGGGCCAAGCCACCCAGTGGAGGAGAGAGAGCCCGGCGCTCCGCTCCCCTGCTGCCCTGGCCTTGGTCGCCCGCTGCACTGCGCCTGCTGCAGAGGCCTCCGGAGGATCCCGCCGCCCATGCCCACTGCCACCGAGCCGCCCTCAACATCTCCTTCCAGGAGCTGGGCTGGGACCACTGGATCGTACACCCTCCGAGCTTCATCTTCTACTACTGTCACGGCGGCTGTGGGCTGCCTACCCAGCCGGACCCGTCTCTGCCAGTCCCCGGAGTTCCCCCTACCCCTTTCCAGCCCCCCTCTCTGCTGCCAGGGGCCCAGCCCTGCTGTGCTGCTTACCCGGGGTCCATGAGGTCCCTCCGTGTCCGCACCACCTCAGACGGGGGCTACTCTTTCAAGTATGAGACGGTGCCCAACCTTCTCACGCAGCACTGTGCTTGCGTCTGAGGGAGTCCTGCTGGTGGGTGATCAAGCCCTGCCATCACCCCTTCTACTTCTCTGCCTGAGGACTCCCCTCCGCCCCACCTCTATGACAATAAAGAACCCAGTGCATGTTATGTATATGACTTGCCATTGCATCCTAGGGCTTCTCTGATACGGTCAGGATGGCGGGGAGATCTGGTCTCTGGGAGCACGGGATTGTGGGATCTCAGGTCGCTCAGCCTCACCTGACTCCGGAGATCTGAGGTTCAGGAGCTGGATTTGGATGCCTATCCGGTGGGAAGCTATGATGCTTGGGGATGACACAAAGGTCTCCACGCTCCTGACAGCCACTGTGGAGACAGAACAGGCCCTCATGCCAGCTGGACCTGACATGTCCATCAGGTTGTCTGTCCTGCTACACATAAAGGCAACTGAGACACGCAGAGTGCCTACCTCTAAGGCGGCCAGAAGCCCCTCCCCTGCCATTCTCTGACCCACCGATGGAGACCTACCTAAAGGTCAGGTGATTCATAGAGTCAGAGATCATGGCTTGGTGCCCCCTTAACATAGAGAGTCAGAGCTGGTCAGATCTTGGCTTTCTTGAGAACTTGGGTGGGATGTGAGGGAAAGATGTGCATCTGAAAGTTGACAAAGGGAGAGAGGAGGTGCAAGAACGAGGGCTTGGGACTCCCTCAAACCTCCATTGGGTCTTGACGTAGCCCTTCATGAAGCCTGGTTCTTGAAATCTTTGGCTCCCTTGATGCACCCTAGGTATCTTTTTTTAAAATCCCAAATTAAAATGTTTACAAATTTAGAGAGAGGGGGAAAGGAGAGAGAAAGAGAAAGAAACATTGATGTGAGAGAAACATCGATTGATTGCTTCTCACAGGTACCCCAACCTGGTACCAAACCTGCAATCTTGGTATGTGCTCTGACAGGGAATTGAACCCGTAACCTTTTTGGTGTATAGGATGACGCTCCAACCAACTGAGCCACATGAGGCCCATCCATCCTGTGTATCTTCTCATTACCCCTTAACTCAGAACTTAACGCTGGAAGTTTGGAAAGGCCGAGCCCACTACTAAAAAAATGTATGATATCGTGTGAATCTGGATACACTCTTTGTGTACATGCTGAGTCCAGAGCAGTGTGCAAAGAGCCCCTTTCTTTTCCCATTGGGTCCGTTCTGCCAGCCTTAATTGGCTGTTGGAACCCCCATCCAAACCCCTTCGTCCCTGCTTTTTTCACTCTTCTCCCCTGGGTCTTGTTATCCTCCTGCCCCCCCCCACCCTTCACCTCACCCCCTACCCCCTGCTCTGACTCCAAAGTATGGGAGCCACTGGTGTGTGTATGGGGTATGTGTGGGGGAGGGTTGGGGATGCTCAAGTCCCTCAAACTGAAATTCTAGAGCACTTTCTAATGCCGACTGCACAACTGCATGCGTATTTCTCCTCACAGACTGACTCATCAAAGACTCCCTCCTACTAACCCAGCTGAATGGGCATATCAGGTCCAGCTGGCATGGGGCCAGTAATGCCCAGGAAGGGCATGTGGAGGGAGAGAACTCTACCCGGCACCCTTTGGCTACCACCTTCCCCCTCCTGAGCTGAGCTGCGTGAGATACTGTACTGGGTGGGGAGACAGTGCAGTCTTCAGAACCAGAGGGGTGACAGAGAGGGAGAGTCAAACAAGAGCCCACGAGAGTAGCCTTCCCTCAGCCACACTCCTGCCCTAGCCCCATCCCTGTTGACACTGAATCCCAAAGGAAACTGCTGGAGAGATCTGCCTGTCATAGCTCCCACTCCCAGCACCTTCATGTAGACCCGGCATTGCAGCTGGTCTGTGCTCAGGGCTCCTGGGTTGCTACTCAGCCAGTGCACTGGGGAAGTGACTGGCTGGGCTAGGCCAGTGCTGGGAATGGCCTTAAGCCTGCCAGAGCACCACTCTCCCTGTGGCTTCCCTTGCCAGATCCTCCCTGCCTGAGGGGGCCTTTCCCTGGGCTCTTCAATCCTCCTACTAGGCTCAGGATCCTCCTCCTTCTTGCTGGTGGGAGGGTGGGGGAGAGGGAGAGGAGGGGGGCGGCACCTGCGACCCTGTGTTATCTAGACTGTCCTTGTCCCTGGAATGTGAATTGGATCCCAGGGCTGGGGACACCACTGAAGGGCACAGAGCTCAGCACTAGGTCACTTAGCAGGCTGGTGTTGCTGGTGAGAATGTTCACGAGACTGAGGCAAAGCAAGAAAAGTGAGCACAACATAGTGTCTTTCAACAAAGCCAAAGGTATGCATTTTATTGTTTAAAATCTTTATTGTCAAGAGTATTACAGGTGTTCTCCTTTTCTCCCCCAAAACGTATTCATTTCAAAGGGCTATGCTTTGTCCTGAAGTTAGCATTTCTCTGTGAGGGTGTGAGCCAAAGTGTTCTTTCTTTCTTTCTTTCTTTCTTTCTTTCTTTCTTTCTTTCTTTCTTTCTTTCTTTCTTTTTTTAAAAAAATATATTTTATTGATTTTGTACAGAGAGGAAGGGAGAGAGATAGAGAGCTAGAAACATCCATGAGAGAGAGTCATCGATCAGCTGCCTCTTGCACACCCCCCACTGGAGATATGCCCGCAACCAAGGTACATGCCCTTGACTGGAATCGAACCCGGGTCCCTTCAGTCCCCAAGCCGATGCTCTATCCATTGAGCCAAACCGGTCTCGGCCAAAGTGTTATTTCTTTTATGATATTCAGGTGATGGTAGAAGGTAGTGGGTTTTTTATTTTTTTTTAAGTTTTTCAATTAGCAAAATTAAAACTTGGAAATTCTTATTTGGAGCCTAAGATTTTTCTTTGTCATTTTGCTGATGAAGATGATCCAATTCCCTGGAACCTGGGAGTCAATCACTGGTCTGGGCCAGGCCTTCCAGGGTCTTAAGGCCTTAGATTCTGCTAACTTAGCAAATCAGGAAGCTACAATCGCCCCTCCCCAAGAGCACAGAGAGTGGCTAAAGACATCTTTTGCCCTCACCCTTGCCACGAGACTAAGAGCAGTAGACTTCAGAGATCCTCTCTGTTCCCAGTGCTAGTCAGTAGGCACACTTTGAATACTCTTCATTCAGAGTCAGTTTGAATAGAAAACCCAACCCATATGAGCTTAGACCAAAAATAAAAAATAAAAATATCACTGTTTCATATCAAGTCACAGCTGGCTAAGCTATGACTCTGGGCTCCAAAGATGCTACGAGGATCCAGCCACAGGGTCTGCATCCCCTGGGTCAGCTCTGTCCCAGGTCCATAGCCGCCTCCCACCATACTCTACTCGGTCTAGCAAGATGGATTTCGCATACAGAAGTCCCAGGAGTCTTAGCGGCCTGATGGTGCTGATTGGGATTGTGCTCTCCTCCAGGAAGGGTGCTCAAGGGACAGAATGAGTTAATGACTTTGGTTATGTGTCCTACCCCTGCAGCCCAGAGCCTAAAGCACAAGGGCTAAATGTGAACAAGGTGATATCCCCCAAAAAGGGGACAGTTACTCCCCAAAAGAGGTAGAGGCTAGAGAAAAGTACTGTTAGTTTCTCTTCCAAACTATCTCTCACCTCAAGCCCTTTCTCTCCCCCTACATAGACACCAATTGGCCATGTAGGGGCAATTCTTGATCTGGCAATTTAGCAGTCTCTGTAACCAGTCATTTCCTACCCTTCCGTCCAGGGCATGCCTACCGGGCTGCCAGAGGATACTTCTTTTGTGAGCATGTCCCTTATCTACACAAAGTTCAATCCGCTTTGTGTGGTATTTGTGCCCTTTACAACTGACCCTAAATCCATTCTTGCAACCTGATCCTATATCCATTCCTCCCTTCCTCTCCCCACCTAACCACACACACAAGCTCAGATACAGCATGTTATTCTCAAGCTGCCATGTATCTTCAGTATGTCTCTTTTCCCCAGGCAATGCCTCCTTTAAAATCCAATCCTGATGTCATCTCTTCTGTGACTCTCCTTGACCCCCAGGTGGTAGAGTCAGCCACTCGTTCCTCACTGCTTCCTGGGCACATTGCTTTTATATATATATATATATTATTATTAGGCACATTGCTTTTTAATGCCGATTTAAAAAAAAATGTTACTTGGCCCTCAGTTGGTTTGGCTCAGTGGACAGAGTGTCGGCCTGCAGACTGAAGGGTCCCAGGTTCAATTCCAGTAAAGGGAATATGCCCGGGTTGAGGGCTCAATCCCCAGTAGAGGCATGCAGAAGGCAGCCAATCAATGATTCTCTCTTATCATTGATGTTTCTATCTCTCTCTTCTTTCCTCTCTGAAATCAATAAAAATACATTTTTAAAAACATAAAAATAATAAAAAAATGTTACTTGTTTTTTTATTTCATAGGTAGCACATAGATACAGTCTAATAATAATGATTCAAATATTTGAATATATATTGTTTTTTTATTTGAATTCAATCTTGAGTGTTTCTCCCAATTTCCATCCCCTCCATAGAGGTGAGTATCCTGCCAGACCTATTTCAAAGTTTATATACATACATCTATCTTATAGAAATAGTCTTTTCTTCTCCACAAATGTTACCATGCCTTACGAATGTGATACAATTCTTTTACTTTATTTCTGAGAGCTTTCTATGACTTTATTTTCCAATCCTACTGTTACCTCCCCCCAACTTAGCAATCATACTTCTGCCCTCAAGAAATAAGCTTCTTTTGTTAATCGCATTAGTTATATAACAAACATGTACACAGCACTGTGCCAGGCATATTACAACTAAAAGCTCATGCAACACTCATAGTAACTTATAAGGTAGGCACTGAGATTATTATGCCCATTGCACGAATCAAGAAACTGAGGCACAGAATTTGAACGTCAGAAGTCTTGTTCCAGAGTCTGTGCACCACAGCTCTACTCCATTACCACCTCACCTCTCCTCTCCTCTGTTCTTCCAACCTGCCTGCTGGAGAGACAAATCTATTTGTGTCCATTGATAAGGGAGGGTGTCCCAGCTCCAGGACACTTGTGCAGACAGCAGTCACTTTTTATTTTTGGCAATAAATTTTAATCTGAAATTTCTTATCCCTTTTTTAAAATTTATTCTCAGTGAAAACATTTTTTACTGGTAAGCAGACACTTTAAACTTTTTTTT